CGGGATACTCGGTGTCTAGTTTTTGTTTAGGGTGTTTAGGGTTTAGGGTGTTGAGGGTTTAGGGTTTACGGCTTAATTAGGGGCTTTCAAGAGCCACCGCCCCGGCCTTTGCTGGCCGTGAAGGTGCAGTCGGACGATCCCAACCTGCTTAGGTCCTTATAGGGCTTATGGCTTCAGGGGTTTAGGTTTAGGTCTCAAGGATTTAGTTAAAGGCTTTAGCATTTCAGTGCTGTTCGGGCTTTTGCGGTTTAGGGTCTAGGGACTTGTAAAATGATGTATGGGGCTTTGCAGAAATTTACAGGCTCCAAGCAAGTTTTCTGTAATTAGGGGCCACAGCAATTTGTTAGAGGGGTGTTTTGCAAAGTTCCTTCAAATGATTCTACAAGAGGTACTCAAGGCTTTAGTATCAGGTTCCTTGCTTTACGGCTGAGGAGGGCGGCGCGGTACCGAGACGTGACATTTGTGGACAGGGCAACATAAGGTCCCTAAACCCTAAACCCTGAAACCTCCCTAAACCCTAAACCCTAAACCGTAACCCTAAAAGGTACCCCTGACTTCTGAAACCCCGATGTGGCTTTTGCGGCTTGCAGCAGTCTGGCAGCCTCTGCAGGCCTCTTCTGGTCCGCAGGAACAGTTGGTGCAGGGTTTGTTCCTGGGCTTAGAAGCTCCACAGAAAGTCTACACGGGGCTTCCGATCACTGAACTTTATTCAAAAGCTGGTGGCACCAATCTCAGATCACCACCTGTAATTCATCCAGCAGAACTGGAGACATAGGAAAAAGATGCCTATTCCTATGTAGCGACAGTGATAGAGCGAATTAGATGCACATCCTGAAGGAGCCGTCTATCGGTGCTTCGTCCCGCGTGTCTTCTTGTTGCGGGCGGATGCTTCCGGCGCCTTGGTTCCGTCGCTCTGGATGAGCTCCAGCCTCAAATCTTTCCGAATTGACGCTGCCAAGGCCTCCACAAGCTCCAAAGCGACCGACTGCGTTTTCGTGTCCTGCAGCTCGACCCAGAAACAGGGCAGCAGCTGGTCCGATGCAAAGAAGACCCATTCCTTCTTGTTCGGCGAGATATGGGTGTCGTAGTTCCTCCTGCGAGGGACACCGTAATCTTTGGATTTCCTTGCAGGCCATTGGCGACCTGGCAAACCTAAGCACATGAAGCAGCCGCCGTTGTTGCGAGCATAGCTTGTGCCAAAGTGAAAGTCGGGGGATGTATATATCCCTGATCCGTAGCAACCTTCATCTGTCTGGTGGAACACCTTCTTCCGGTCCGGGACGCGCAAGTTGCTATTCACGATACTTTCGAAGTTCTTTGTTGGCGTCCAGTGATGGACAACTTTCGGCATCGCAAGCTCGGGTGACAAAAAGGATGTCTGCCTGATGGCTCTGTCAGCAAAGCTGACCGCTAAGTCGAAATTCGCGACGCAGGCTTGCTGCACACCCTTTTCCTGGGCAGGTGAAAGAGCACACTTCTGTCATCATGCCTGCCGGCTATCAGCAGTTTATGCAGGAATACGTACTGATTACTTAAACATAATTACGCTGTGCAGAACAACCAGTTCCGTGTCTACGACTGTCAACATCGTCTTCGCTGTTGCCTTCGTTCGGACACTGACTTATTATTCTCTGTAGCCAGCGTGCCGATTTATGCGGTTGTTGCGATCATGCTTGTGGCGGCAGTAGCCACAGCGGCGGGCGGGTGGGGGATGGTGGGGGTGGTCGTGGCGGCGGCGGTGGCGGATGTCTTGGCTTTTGTTGTTCGTTTGGTGCTGTGCCGTGCTTGGTGTTGGGGTGCTGGTGAAAGCCGTGATGGCGGCGGCAACGATTGCTGTTTGCTTACCGTGTTTGCTCTTGGGGTTCATAGATGCTCCACTGCACTGCTTGCCAAGCTATGCTTCATGCTCCATGATGATGCCGGCGTTGTCACTATCTATACGGTTTTTCTTCTGACTAGTGGCTAGTTAGCAAGAACAATTCATAGATCTAACTAGCTATCTGCCTGTCCGCCTGTCTACATATTTGTATGTCTCTGTCTCCGATTCTGTCTCTCTGTCACTCTGTCTTTGTCTCAGTGTCTCTGTCCCTCTGCCTGTTAGTGTCTCTGTCTGTCTTCCACACAGCTAAAGTTGCACGGACACCAGCACCGCCCCCACCCCCCCGCACTAGCAAGCGCCCTGGTCCTGAGTCCTGAAGTCTGGTCCGTGTCTGTCTCTGTCTTCCTGTCTCTCTGTCTCTCTGTTCTCCCTGTCTCTCTCTCTGTCTGTCTGTCTGTCTGTCCGTCCGTCTGTCTGTCTGCCTGCCTGCCTGTCTGTCTCTGTCTGTCTGTCTCTGTATGTCTGTCTCTGTCTGTCTCTGTCTGTCTCTGTCTGTCTCTGTCTGTCTCTGTCTGTCTCTGCCTGTCTGTCTGTCTGTCTGCCTGCCTGCCTGTCTGCCTGCCTGTCTGCTTGCCTGCCTGCCTGCCTGGCTGTCTGTCTCTCTGTCTGTCTCTGTCTGTCTCTGTCTGTCTCTGTCTGTGTCTGTCTGCCTCTGTCTGTCTGTCTGCCTGCCTGCCTGCCTGTCTGCCTGCCTGTCTGCCTGTCTGCCTGCCTGCCTGGCTGTCTGAAAGTCTGTCTCTTGTCTGTCTCTGTCTGTCTCCGTCTGTCTCTCTGTCTCTGTCTGTCTGCCTCTGTCTGTCTCTGTGCTGGCTAGCTGAATGGTTGGATGCATGACCATCTAACTAACAAAAGGACTGACTCACGGTCTCTGACTTCCTGGCTGGCTGACGGACTGACTGACTGACCGACCGATTGACCGACTCAGCCACTAAGCAATCAGGGAAGCAAGGAGCAAGCAAAACAAGCAAAGCAAGCAGCCCTCCGGCCAGCAGCCAGCAAACCAAACCGATGAACTGACGAATAGACCAGCCAACCAAAAACGGACCAACTAGCTAACTCGCTAGTTAACTAATGAACTATCTAACCTTGTTTGACTGACTGACTGGCTGCACAAACGACTAAGCAACTAAATGACCGATTTACTAGATCTTCCTAGCTACTTAGCTGACTAACTCGGTCACTGACTTACTAGCGCTAGCGAGCTAGCTAGCTAGCTAACTCGCTGGCTGACCGGCTGACTGACTGACGGACTGGCTGACTGACTTAACTGACCAACTTAAATGACTGACTGACTCAGCCACACATTGAAAAACCAAGCAACTGACTGACCGCCACAGTGAGTCGCCAACTAGCCAACCAGCTAACGAGCGAACCTCCACTAACTCATTGATGTGGAATACTCACGAGCTACTCAAGGCGGTGGGCAGAAAAACCGTGCGCATATGCTGTGTTGCAGTTGTTGTTACTATGACACCTGAAACAGAGCACCACTGAACAAGTCTCAGTGTCTTCAGCTCCAGATCTCACTTGCTGAATCCAGCATGCTGCCCTCGCAACAGGTGTTTGCTGTGTACGCAGCTCGTGTATCTGAGAAGCGGCGACATGCTTTTGGAGGTGGCCCTCGTACTCGCTCGGCAAGAAGAGATCTGCGCAGACTTCACCTAGGGGGAGTAAACAGTCGAAAGACAAAGTCAGGTCAAGCCTACGGCATCACCAAAGCATCGAAGCAACACACCTTGGTCAGTTTTTTCGTGCTGCAGGACCTAAACCCTAAAGCCCTAAACCCGGACATGCCGAGAAAGCAGAGCCTTGCAGACCCCGGCCGTGTCCGCAACTCCAAAACAGCACAAGTCGATATCACAACTGTATCAATGAGCTTTTGAGAAGCTATTATAAGCATTACTGAGCATCTGATACTGCAACAAGGCAGGTCAAAGCCCTCAAAAGTCTGATGAAGACTTAAGTTGCTGGTCAGCAAGAGTGACATATTGAAAACCATCAAAGCATCTGGCACGAAAACATCTAAACCCTAAACCCTAAAAGTCCTGAATCAGGACAGCCGGATGACAAGGAAGCAGTGACAAGGGTGCCTCTGCCTCTCTGGGATAAAGCTGCCCATGCTTGGTGACGTGCGCAGAGTAGCTACCTACAAGAGAAGAAAATCTTTGGGCTTTTGGATGGTTTACCTGTGACTGTGAATAGTCGACTTCGCAACCTGCTGGTTCAAGGGTTGCAGCCTATAATTCTGGGGTCATCACCTACTAGTTTGTAAGGTTCGAGGCTACAGGTAGAATTAGGGTTTCGGGTTTAGGGTTTAGATATTTCGGATTGGGAGCTCAGGGAGTATGCACCATAAGGCCGCAAACCTTTAGATTAGTTGGCGCTATCAGTTTCTAACGAACCCGAAGGAATGAATATGAATCGTGGTAAATCCTCAGACTTCTATATGAGGGCTTGCTATGATACCAAGCCAGGGCCCGCCTGGCTCCAGCCTCTCATCGCAAAGCTCGCAGGGAATCAGGGGCTGAAAGCCTTTGCAGAACTTCCAGGACGGGATCGCGGCCGTCCTGCTACACGACCTGCCACCGTCCAAGAGCTGCTGGGGTGGTCGCTTCTTGGGCGGTTCCCTGCTCGAGCTCGGCATGGTGCTTTCATGCGCAAGTGGCATGACTGTCCAAGCGAGAACCTATGTGGAACACAACAGACTTGTGCTTCCTCCGGTTCAGCCAAAACGGCCTCGGATGCCGACAAAAAAAACACTACTAGTACTCACCCTGCTGCTCGTGCTGAGGCAGCAGCGCCGCAAGAAGCAACTGCTGCACGAAAGCTGTCAAGAGAGATGTCTTCCTCGTGCTACAATCAACCCATGTAATAGAAACCGACCGAAACATGATCGCAGTGTCAACCCCAAAATGCTCGCCGATGTGGGCGTGGAGAGCCTTGGACAGAAGTCATGCAAGACAGTCACCCCCAAATCCAGATAGAGTATCAGAGATTCTCGGGATTACCGTTCCCTGCCTGAGGTCCAACAAAGATCCCGTGATTTTTTACGGTTTAGGACAAGTTTAGGGTTTACGATGGGAAAAGATGCCAAACCCAAAACCCAGAAACACTTGAAACCACATGCCATGTCATGCCCCATACACCCGGCACCAATAGCCCTGCTCAGCTTAGTGTTGGGTTCGGCTGAGGCCGCCACAGGGCTGCCACGTCCTTGCCGCTTGTCACTGCTGGGGCTTCGGGTGAACCCAAGCCCTAAACCCTAAAACCGAAATCCTCAACCTCAAGCCTGGGCCCTGAGCCTTAAACCCTACACCCCCAACCCTAAACCCCAAAACCCCTAAACCCTAAACCCCCTAAGCCCTAAACCCCAACCCCCAACCCCAAACCATAGATTAGGTGGCCTTTTTGAATTTGGCTCTGAGGCTGAAACTCAACTGCGATCTGCAGCCTACTTATCATGCCGAACTAAAGGTTAAGCCTTTCGGATTATTATATAGGGACTAGGATTTAGGGTTTAAGGTTTAGGGGTTTATGGGTTTGGGATTATACAGGGATTAGGGATTAGGGGTCGAGGCGGTCTAGGCGTGTGGGAGTATAGTACACCTAAAAGGTTAAAGCTTACCTACTCTACTACTAAGACTACTAAGACAGGGTTTAAGCAAACGGGGTTACCTGAAGGACTAGGGAACTTCGCGTCTCGTGGTTTGATTACCACCCCGACTATGTACGTTGGGTTTAGGTTTTCAGGGATTCGGGCTTGAGGTTTACTTCCTGACTGGCTTCATCTGGTTCATCTTCCAAGGAAGATGCACCAAACCAAACCCTCCACAGCAAAGCAACAGGCTCAGTCCGCTCGAAACGACACAGCCGTGCGATGTGTAAGTAGGGCCAACAGCCAACAGCCAGAATGGGAGAATAAAGGGAATCAAGGGACAAGGAACAGCATGCAGAACACAGACTTTGATTCTGCTCATCTGGGTCCCTTTCATCCCTGGTCAAAGGCAAAGCAACCCCTAAACCCCTAAACCCTGAACCCTCTCTCTCTCTCTCGCCTTTTGCTTCTCTCTGCTTCTCTCTACATGAGAGTATTTGCGCATGCATGTATGCACGCATGCATGCATACTCATGTTCATGTCAGTGCGCGTGGATGTGTCCGAAAATACATGTATGTATATATGTATGTGCAGAAGCACCCATAAACACACACACACACACACGCGCGCAAGCCTACATAAATATATGCACATGTAAATGTACATATACATATATATATACATACACATACATACATACATGCATACATACATACAGATAGAAAGACATACAGACAGACAAGACAGACAGACAAACAGACAGACAGACAGGCATTATTGTGTACATTCATACATACAGACATATGTACGAAGTGCAAAAAACGTAGTGTGATATTCACCTTTGTTTATTGGCCCATACATATGTAAATAACAGGTATTTACATACGTGCACGCGCGTGGCACATTCTGCCTGAGCCCTGATGTAAGAACGGATGTCCTTGTTCACGGAGTAGATGAAGATATTTCCAATGCACTCGTAGCACTTCGCAGAACCGCTTTCGGGCGCATAGTGGTTCAAAGGGCACTCACCTTGGGACCATGGCATTCCCACTGCATTTATCGAACGAGCTTAGGGCCTCAAGATGTGTGTATACCCCTGTACATATCTGTATATATATATGTATATAGAGATAAAGTTACATATACATATACATATATATATATATACATGTTTATATATATATATAGAGAGAGAGACATATATACA